CTGGTCCCTCCTGTTACATATATACCCACTATTCATTTATCAGTCATTAAAATCCAATTCTTACCACTTCTTTTATCTCCTAAGTATCATCAACGGAAGTTAAAAAAAAATATTTTTAGACAATAAGACATTAAATAGGTATAATATAGTTGAAGTCTACACCTACTTAATGTCTTACTGTCATTCGACTGCTCACCAACAGGCTTCTATCTTCAGGTTGGTGAACATAATATTATTTGTTTATCTGATCCAGCATCTCTTCCCCCCTCTCATGATAACTGAACCCTTCTTGAGAAACTTATATATGGTTTGGGTGGAACTGACCTTCCATCTTTACTAACAGGAATGAGCACATGACCCAGTCCTCACCAGTCACAGAATTCCATTTCCCTGGCCACTATGACTGGTTCAGAGAGAACCGTATGACCATAAACAAGCTGATCAGAGTCTTTCAAAGGGTATTCTCTGTCAGAGTTATTGAGGAATACACCTCTTTCCACCAAGGTTGCGATAATAGCTGCCATCACACCTGCCACGTGGAAAAGAAATTCTGAGAGACAAAAAGAAATACACAATGGTGTCATTTGATCCCCTGGATCCAGATAACCTTAAAGCCATCCCTGCTCCTAAACTTCTGAGTTGTGTGAGTCAATATATTCCCTTTGGGGCAAGCTAGTTTACACTGGATTTCAAGCACTTTGAAACAAAACTACACTAACTAATAATATAAACTCCTTTAATATACACACATCTTAATATGTAATACTATTCTTCATTATTACTTCTAGAGCTTCAAAAAATATTATAAGAAAATAGATGTTGTTGTGTACTGTGGAGTTGATTCTGAGTCATAAACTGCCCACAGGGTTTCTTAGGATGATATCTTATATGGGAGCAGAGCGCCAGGTCTTTCTTCCTATGGAGTGGCTGGTGGGTTCTAACTGCCGACATTTCATTCAGCAGTCGAGCGCTTCATCATTATGCCACTAGGACTCTGAAAGAATAGATACATATATGCATACCTATGTTCACTGCAGCATTATTCACAATAGCAAAACGATGAAAACAACCTAAGTGCCCATCAACGGATAAATAAACAAATTGTGGTACATATATACAATAGAATACTACACAACTATAAATAACGAGGAGTCCGCAAAAAACCTTATAATATGGATAAGTCTGGAGGACAGTATGCTGAGTGAAATAAGTCAATCACAAAAGGACAAATATTGTGTAGCCCCACTATTATAAAAAGTTGAGAATAGATATATACACAGAAAGCAATGTTCTTTGATGGTTACCAGGGATGGGAGAGGGAGGTTGGGGGGATCACTTTCTAGATAGTAGACACTTTTTATTTTGGGTGATGGGTAAGGCAATACCAAACATGGGTGAAGTCTGCACAATCTGACCAAAGTAAATGAAAACACTAAGAAGTACATGAGAAAAAGGGGACATTTCGGTAAATGCTGTAACATACAATTTTGCAACAACAGTAATAACAGCCAAAAAATACATGTGTGGTTATGCAGGTAGATATGTATGCATATATGTGCATAGGAGAGCATATTGCGAGTACATGAACATGCATGTATAGGTGTATCTGTATAATTAAGTATATACATGTCTGTGTGTGTGCTGCACATATATCCATATATATAATAAAGCACATAGGGAACACAGTTATGGAGACTTCCTAGACATAGCCAAACAACTTGTGGGGCTGGTTTACCGGGTTAAAAGGCTTAGGACCATAGTCTCATGGAACAACTCAGTCAACCGGCATAACACAGCTTATAAAGACAATGTTCTATATCCTAGTTTGGTGACTAGTGTCTAGGGTCTTAAAAGCTTGTGAGTGGCCATCCAAAATAAAACCATTGGTCTCTATTCATCTGGAGCAAGAGAGAACGAAGAAAACCAAAGACTCAAAGAAGAAACTAGTCCACAGGACTAACAGCCCACACAAACCATGACCTCTTCTAACCTGAGACCAGAAGAACTAGACGGTGCCTGGCTACTACCACTGACCCTTCTGATCAGGGACAAACAGAAGGTCCTGGACAGAATGGGAGAAGAGTGTAGAACAAAATTCAAATTCCTAAAAAAGGTCAGACTTAATGGATTGATACAGACAAGAAGAACCCCCAAGACTATCATCCTAAGATACCCTTTGAATTTGGAACTGAAGCTACTCTTAGAGGTCATCTTTCAGCCATATAATAGACTGGATTATAAAAAACCAATATCACCCATGAGTGATGTACTCCCTTAAACAATCAACTATATGAGACTAAACAGCCAACATTTACCCAAAAGCAAAGATGAGAAGGCAAGGAGGGGAAGGGAAGCTGGATCAATGGAAACAGAACAAACGGAATGGAAATAATGAGAATGCTGACACATTGTGCTAACTGTAACCAACGTCACAGAACAGTTTGTATAAAAATTGTTAAATGGGGAAAAAAAAAGACCAGATACATTTAAGGGAAGTCATGGATATTTCTTTTATTCTATGACTCAACTAACATAAAACCAAAACCAAACCAAACTCGTTGCCGTTGAGTCAATTCTGACTCAGAGACTCTACAACACAGAGCAGAACTACCCCATAGGGTTTCAAAGGAGCAGCTGGTGGATAGATAAATAAATAAACACATACATAAACAAATGAGGGAGAAAGACTAACTCTTCCTTACAGAAGAATTCCAATTAGGAAATGTAAAAAGAAGGAGGGAAATACAAAAATCACCATTAGAACACCAGAGTAATAACTGTTTTAGACAATATTCACTGATGGATGCTAAAAGCAGTGGGCGAAAGTTTAAGGAGAAGCAGGATATCTGCATAGTCTCAGAGTATTTCATTTAAGATATTTATTAATTACAAAGGGAAAAATAGTGACTTTATGTAGAGAAACCTACTAGACAGCCCACTTTAATCAAGTGATCGAGGTTACCATCACCAATAATAAAACACATGGACATCACTGATCCCCTGATACGATGCTGTGAAAAGGGCACGTCAGGATTCAAACTCCAGGTCTTCTGAGACTCCAAAATTCATGCTGTTAATCACTTGGCTAAGAATAAGCATATTTTCTTTCCAGAAACTGATAAATGTACTTGTTGGGGGGAAACTACGTCAATCAGGATATTCTAGCATTTGTGAAATAGCCCAGTTCTGTAGTTATTCAGAGAAAGTAGGAATAATCGATGAGGTAACACAGTGCCTAGAAGAACAGAACATTCTCACGTGTGAAGAACAGAAATTAAACAATGGGATAAAAGGGAAGCTAATCAATAAAAGGAAAAACAGAATGATACATTTACTGATGCTTGATACACAGTAGGTGGTAATAATAATAATAGCAAATACTTATAATGGTAATATATTTATTTTTATTTACTACTATTTTAATTCAGTTTATTTAGTAAGGTATGTAATTTATTTATTAAATTTATTTAATAATGAGGGCAAATACTATTACATTTATTTATTCACTTAACTTTGACAACAATCCTATGAGGTGGGTACTACTAATATCTCCATTTTGTAGATGAGGAAACTAAGGCATAAAATGTTGAGTAATTTGCTTGAGATCATTCAGTAAGTGGCAGAACCTACTATACTATGCTACCTCCTAGAAAAATATCAGTTTAGTTAATAATAAGTGTCAGATAGCATGCTGAATACATATTATTCTAATCCTCATAATATTCCTGTCCAGTAGGTTTTATTCTACCTATTTTACAAATGAGAAAACTAAGGCTGTGCTGGACTGTTCAACATATTGCAAGGTATTTTACATGCTTGGTCTCTACCTGGTAACTGTCAGTAGCATCCCTGCCCCGGCAACCCCCCTACCACCATCCTAGTCATTGTGATACGCAAAAACGCTCCCAACAAACATTTCCAAATGCTCCTACATGAGTGGTACTCTTGAAAACATTGGTTGCTAAAGGTCATTAGGTGGTAAGGTGCAAAGCTGGGATGTGAGCTAGTCTATATGAATCCAAAGCTGATGTTATTTCCAATACCGGACACTTATTTGTGAAGGACTGGAGATTGAAACCAGCGTACAAAGACAAAGAGAACACAGTTTCACACAACATACGGACCAATACATTCCAGACGAGGAAAATCCAGTTGTAAATAACTGAAAAGTAGTCTATAAAGTATAACAACTAATATTATATGTCATTTGTTAAACTAAGAAAGACGTAAAAGCATGGAGCAATTTGTAAAGTGTATCAGTTTGTCTGCTGAGGACTGGGATTCACCTCAGAAATTCTGAGTAAGAACTGGCATCATTAACATGTTAATTCCTGTACCGGTCTAAGCTGGATAAAGTTAAGGGGAGAAGAGGTTCACAAGACCTCTTGGAAGAATTTCGAAGACTATCATCCTTTTCTGTTTCACCACTCTAGTATTTTCAAAGCTATCTAGGTTGTTCTCCATCCAATACCATGAGTCTACCAT